TAAAATATAAAATGTTTATCATTAATATTTATATCATATATACTTACATATATGACATTTATATGTAGAAAGAATATACATACATATATGTGGAGAATGTATATTATACTACACATGCATGTTTGTGCATATAACCATTTCATATAACCATGACTTATTTGCCATGACCTGTGTATAAATAATAGCACAAAGGCTAAACTTAATAAGCAAAATTAGAGTTACGGTCATATAATAAAAGTACTTCATTTTGAAAGAAATTATCTTTAGGATTCCTTTAACAAAAGATATATTTAGTTTCTTTGAAATGGGTTTTAAAAGTCTTTTTTTAGCCTTTTTAGAAAAACTGAGTCATCTGTGTGCACAAATATGTACTAAAAATATGTGCAAAAACCACTGTACATCTAGAAGCATTGTTCAAACTAATGTTAAACATTTTTTAATATTTTCCTTTGTATATTTTCAAATGTTCAGTGTTTCCATTCTCCCTCCCTTCTTTTTTAACTCCTACAGTATTTTTAGCTCCATGACACTGGAGCACATGCTAAGAACCCACAGGAGAGAGAAAAAATAGTTTCTACTCTCTCCAGCCTTAAAATGGGTAAGCTTCTTATGTTTAAAACAAAAGAATGTTTAAAGTGTTTTCATTTTCTATCACTACATTCCTTAATTTGAAAAATGAAATAGGAAACGAGATGAGAAGTATATTTGTAATAGACAGAAAAGCAACTGCCCGTCCAGCAGTCAAAAGCTAAACATCTTTTCAGTTGGTGATACCTACATATCCTTATAAAACCAAACTTTCCTTTCTTTGTTCACCTCTAAAATTATTCTGCAGAGGTTTTTCTTCTTTTTTTATACAGGATGATAAGTAAACAAAGTCGTACCCTCAATATTTTAGACATTTACTGTTAAATTCATGCGTACTCAAGTCACTAAATGAGGACTGCCCGAATTCTAGCGAAGAATACTTGATCTTTGTTCAGAAGGAAAGTTTACTGCAGTGATATTTATTTATGCATTTTTGTCCAAATAATAAATTAATTTGAGTCAAACACTATGCTTTCCATTGGCTTGGGGGAATTTGATTTAGTGACTTGAGCCACTGACCTGGTAAAAAATCTATAGAAACATCTGGTGCTGTGAAATAAAAGACACTAATACAATGAACACTAATTTCCCTCCCGATGCCTGTAGTAAACCATATTCATTATTGCTATGTTAAATGATTAAGTGTCTCAAGTTTTTCTCTACCCCCACCCCCAGGAACTTTAGTAATGGATATATACTAACCATACAGAAATTCACCTGATTTATGACTCCGCTGCAAAGGCTGTTGAACATTTAGCAAAAATGCAACATTTTTCCTGGTACCTTTAAAAAATATAAATGTGCATTGTCTTAGTTCTTGCTATGCCACCCATATACAAAAATTATTAGATATTTCCTTATGTATGCTCATTACAGTGCCGATGGTGTTAAAAAGCACATGCCAAAGGGCTGGGTTCTTAACCCACAAAAAAGTTATCTGTTCGGTTTTTATCTTTGTGTCTATGTGTTTAGATTGTCAATACCAGGTAGTGAGAGTGAAAATGCAATGGAAAAGGGACAGAAACATCCTCTGGGATTCCCGCAAATGGTAATACACACTGATACTGTGTAGATGATAGTTGTCACCTTTTATATTGCAAGTCTACTTTGGATAGTGTGTCAGGAACAAGATAAAGGTCATATTGCTTAAAACCCATTATAAGCATAAATAGTAGGGAACAGTCTAGCTTATAAATTGGCAAATTAACCCTTGCCATGCTTTAATAATCTGTAAGACATCTTAAGATGAAGAAAATGAATCAATGACCATATTTTTTTCCCTGACCATTAATTTAGATGAAAATTTCAAAATGATTTATTTTTTTAAACAAGGCTTTGTTGGTCTCAATGTACTACTTAGCAAATGTGCTTGGGCCTTCCACTTACATCAAGGATGAGACTGTGCAAGCACTGTAAACAGAGGTTACAGCTTAAGTAGAAGAGTTGACCAGCATTACGTCCTTAAGAGCCTGAGAGGGCGGAGGGGAGACGAAGGGTTACAAGAATGTCCAGGATTATGAATAATCTGGATGAATTAGATAATTGACTCTCCTGGAGTATTTTTTGGGACATGTTTGCAAAAAAACACAGATGAGGACTCAGTCTGCCTTAAACTAAATGAAAAGTTTTTTCCCTGAGAATCCAAATGGTTTGAAAATTGAAAAATGTGTTTATAAAAAACTCCTTTTTTGTTTTCTTTCCCAGAAAACCTCGGGTTTCTCCCACTGAGAAAAAGAACACGAATGTGGCTGTAGAATGATCTCTTGATCCTTGGACAAAACTCAGGAAAAAGTCTAACAAATGCATCGTTTTGCAGTAAATTAGATCAGATTTCCGCATCTCCGCACTCAGTCTGTGAGCTGACAGTTCGGTAAAATGTTCCCTTGTAAGGTTCGCCCTCTTAGGAAAAGGGGCAATAATTCATCATTAGGATTTCAGAGTCCAGGTGTAGATGGAAACTGATGGAGCCTCCAGCGAGGCAGGGAAAGTGCGTGGAAGAAGAAAATTTTATCTGAAGCCTAATTCCCTGGTTACAGCAGAGAATAATTAAGATAATATTGCTTCAAGAGTCCTTTAATGATTAAAAATCACATATGCAGAATCCATAAATTGGAGGGCAACAAATTGGAGGGCTATAGCGTCAGAGACCTGTTCTTTGCACGTCGCCGTGGAAAGTACACTAGCGGCAGCAGGCTGTACGGGCGGCCACCGGAGACCCGGACCATTCCAAGGACTTTGTTTAGATGCAACAAATCATTTGTCTGTTATTAACCCAGAGCTTGTAATTATGCAGATTGCCATAGATTTTCCTGGGCTTGGAAGTGAGATTGAGGGTTGTTCACAGTATAGCAGGCAGCTCAGGGCTGGCCATGCATTACTGAACTTGCCACATTTATCATGTTGACTGATGGCAGCAGAAGCAGGTCTCAGGTCCCAGTGGTTAATGTAGTGGGTAATTAACTGTCATTTGCCTAGTAATAGGCTGATGATCAATGGTTTGTGTGGAAACAAATTCTAATCAGGTAGCTGATAAATGCTCAGCTAGCGAGAGCAATTGAAATTGGGGGAAACTCTGTCCAGAATTTCAAAATGGCATTGTGTGTGTCTGTTTATTGGTATAAGCAAACTGAGTAGTTCTTAAAACTGCTTTCTCTCATATGAATCTATATTCATGGAATAAAGAACTTTTAGGATTTCCTTGTTTCTCAAAAATAGTGAAAGAGCACAAGAAACAAACAGCATATAGAAGTGCTGTGACTCCTGAAGAGATCACAGGAGTGCACCAAAAGTAAATGTAAAATGTTAGGATGAAGGAAGAGATTCTGCTCACAAAAGAATAGGATGAAAACTTTAGCTTGTGACGGTTGCATTTTTTAAGGAGACCAGTAGGATTTGCAGATGCTACATTTTCAATGATGTTTAAAGAAAAATCATGTAACTGAGAACACAAAGGTTATCAGAGCCAATGTCCTTCAAATAAGCATGGGAAATGGCTTTAAAATTCTTTCAGGAAAATAATCATCCAGCAATTTTGAATTTATCCTTAACTATAAACCTGATGAACATTTTTATCAGGTGCACGAATTAGGCGTGCAAACTATTTGAAAAGCACTGACAGTTCCTCCCCTCAAGGTGCTTATGTTCTTGCAGAGACAGTCTTCACAAAAACATAAGCATAAGCATGACACATGAGCCTGTCACTCAGAAGCCACCCCACCACCCTTGCCCACAATTGTCATCAGCCTGGCAGAGGAAGTAATTACACACTTGAAAATGAATATGCATGCCTTGAGCAAAGACCTAGCTTTGGAGTACATAGAAAGCAATAAGGAGAGAAACTTCGGCACATTTGTATATAATCCTTAAATTCAAGAAAACGAAAGGGTAAGATTTTTAAAGTACATTTTTATAACTAAAATGAGTTTTCTCCATACCACCTTTGAATTCATTAGTTTAGAACTGCTTTTAATTTGGTCTTTCCCTTGAGAGTCATTATATTTTCTCCTGTCAGACTGATGCTGTAGAAAAAAGAAAACTGGCAGATGTGGTGTTTTTCATCTAGTTTGCTTCCTAGTTAAAAAAGTGCATTAACTACCATGCACAGAATAGTATTTATAATAACTTTTCACCACCATTAACTGTAAAACTTGGTTTAAATATTACCAGTTCAAATGGATAAAATATTTTATTTCTTCCCATTATAAAACTATGCAACTTATTTTGTACATTTTTAAGGTCATTATAGTAACTTTTCAGGAACGTACGGAAGATAGGATGTTTTCAAAAACCTTCTTTCCAGACAGTTCCTGTGGTTCTAAAGTGTATCATGTTTCAACTCCTGGTCTAGCTCTGTATAGTTTACAGCCTCATTTCCTTTAATGTGCTACCTGGAAAACAATCACACTGTAACTACAGTACGGGGCCACAAGGTACACGCGCCTCTAGTGTTTTCTATTTAAATGGCTTATTTGTAAGTGTTCTTTTAATAATAATGGCAAACCTTTCAGTAACAACATGTCAAAAAACAGTGAGTCACGCAGATGGGTTTCTTTTCCAACTAAAATGTTTAGTAAGTGGCATTAACAGCAGAGTTACATTGCTTTTGTGTTTACCTCATATTCTAGCATTTGCTATGAACGCACCCTGTTGACTTCTGTTTGTGTACAGTCCTCTAAGCTTCCTAATGTATTTGTCTTTTCCTTCTCAAACACGATGTGATTTTCATCAAGAAAAGTCAACTGAGTATGTATCATGGAAGAACGTGTATGAGTTCACACAGGCTCGACTCACCTGTGTGCATCCTCAGGCTTTGTGCATCCATAGCTTTACAGGGTGTCTTTGCAGCTTCTCTAGTCACCATCTCGGGCTCTCTGTAAGAGTTTGAAAAAAAAAAAAAATGTTTATTGTTCTAGGCTCTTCGGTGTCACGGGAAACTGCGCTGCCTGTAGTAAGCTCATTCCTGCCTTTGAGATGGTGATGCGCGCCAAGGACAATGTTTACCACCTGGACTGCTTTGCATGTCAGCTTTGTAATCAGAGGTAAGCAGGGTCCATCCTGGCATCTAAAAAACTGCAAACCCCTCTTAGCTGGCTATTTGGCTAATAGGTGGGAATTATATCCACACACTTTACTTAAAGCAATTAATCTCAGAATTTTGTTTTCTGCCAACATTCATTCACTGCCAGAAACAAACCACAGAGGAGGAGAAAGGTCTTAGGATGACATGTCTACCCAGAAATGCATCCTTGTACAGGAGATACTAAGAAATGGAAATATTTCTTAGCCTTGTTATTATCCATTCTTTTGTCTTTTAAAAAGTAGATTTAAGGTGGGCACTACTTCTATCAGCAAACAAATTGACACTAAGGCAAATTTGTAGGAATTTGTGGCAGAGTGAATATTCATTTTATTTTTCATCTTTACTGTTGCCCAGGGTCTTGATTTCTTATCTTGCATTTTAACCTTATAATAATGTAATAATGAGACAATTCTCAGCATGGGAGAGGCAACATTGCAGAATGGAAAGACTTTTGTATAGAGAATCCACAAGCTACATGCTAGTCTGGACTCTGCCTCTCACAAGCAGTGTGACTGTTCAACAACCCTTCAGTGCTCTGCCCCCCCCTCATTTTCTCAATTGTTAAATAAGGGAGGTGGCTCGTCAATGTCAGAGAACTATGTCATCTCAGAAGTATTATGACTTCATCCTATTTTTCCTTATTTTAACTAGAAGATTGATTTCCAGTGGGAAATATATACTAACGGCACCTATTTTATGTGATAAATACAGAATATATTAGAATTTTACAATATACCCATCATTTATACATTTCAAAAATTAGTACTCTTGATGAATCTTAATGAAAATAAACTCAGCAAGAGTATGGAGGACACCTGGATATGGCATCCAACCAGTAAATATCAGCTGTCTCAGTTCTTAGTTACTGTAATTTTCTGTTTTGTCAGTGCAGTGTCTTCTTAGGAGGTTCTATAAAGAGTAGAAAGAATATGATGCTTACCATGAGAATCATATTTGAATTTAAGCCCCACCTTATATTACCTATGCAATCTTGATTGTGTTATTTCATCTCTTGAGTTTTGTTTCCACACTCGGAAAATGGAGACTAAAAATTTTTAAATGAAAAAAAAAATATTAAGTACCAGGAACACAATAGGATCTCAGAAATTAAGTTATTTTACCTTTACAATTTTACCAAATAGTATTTCATTAGCTTGGTTTTTACACAACATAGTTCAATAATACCTCCTGCTAAATATGTATGTTCAGAATGTGGCCCAATGTATATTGCCATGTAAAACTTACTGAGGAAATAATACAGGAAGTTATCTTCAAGAATCTTTAGTCTTCCCAGCAAAGGTATGGAATCAAAGTAGGTAATTTAGTTTATAGTGCATTTCATCAAAAATAAATTGGCAAATGTACATGTTGTTTACTGTAAGGGTATGGTCCACACACACATTTATATGTATATAGATGTGAATGTACCTGTATTCTGAAGGTGTATTAGTAAATTTAAAATACTTTTGTCAAATTGATAAACTAATCAAATCCACTCATGGTAGCATTATCTTTACACAATGTAATCTTTTCTACTTATAAAAGGTTATATATTCATGGTAGAAAAAGTGGATAAAGATTAACATTGCCCCATATCTCACTACTCCAATAGAAATTATTTTAATGTTTTAGTGTATATCTAGCTATTCATTTGTCTATGCACATATAACATATGTACATATACTTTGTATTTTACCCACATTCAGGCAGCTTTAAGGAAGGTGACAGGACAGAATCTATTACTTGATATTTGGACTATTAATAAGTGTACCTGCCTTTAAAAATTATTTTTGGTATTTTAAGTTGTCTCATGTTTAGGTGTTTTTATTTTTTTACATTACGGTTTATAGAGCTCCTATAGTAAATTAGTTGTCTATAATTAGATGTATATATAATGGACAAAGGGCATAAACAGGCACATTTGTATTAGGGCAGGCTTACCTATTTTATCCATGTTCTCTACAGAAAATTAAAACATCATTCAAGTGCTAAACTCAGCCTAAATTCTATTATGATGCAAAGTAATTGTAGGTTGTTAATGCTATTTACAAATCATATATCAATTTTATTTCAGCATTGAAATAAAAAGTTGCATTCACAATTAAGTCTATCTCCTCAGTGGAACTCAGTCAAGTAAGACAAACACTCCTAAATTTTGACTCTAAAACTGTTCACATTCTTATTGCTGCAAAATACTATTCTAGTATCATTATTAAAGTACCTAATATATTTCTGTGTTCGCTTCATTTATTACATGCCATAATGGGACTGCATATCTTTAGTGCTGGTTATGCACAATTAGCACTTAGTTATTGTCTTGTCACTTCAGTCCCTACAAGACAAACTTCTTTAATGTAAGAAGTCAGCTAATCTTCATCAGTCAAGCAAAGCAGACAAATTTTGTTACTCTGACTACAGAAAGTTTTCAATATAGGAGACTCACTCTACTTTCCTGTTTGCCCGGGAAATCCTGCGCACTATAGCCATGTGTCACTGTTCTTTCAGTAGGCAAATGACTGTCATAGCATTGCACTTTTTCAAGAGAAACCTAACAGAAATTAGATCATTTATAAGTACTCTCCTTTATGCAAACTTCCTAGATAACTGAATTTGTGGTAGGATAAATGCTTAGGAACTTCATTTAGCAGTCATTTCATCTTAAATTTTAAATAAAATATTAATACCCAAGGCACTTCTGAATGTTTTTAAAATGGTAGTGATGATCACCTTTTAAGAGTGGTTGTTCCTTGTAAATACCCTCCGCCTGTTTGGAGGGAATATAACTAAAATGGTGAACCCTGAATTAAAAATCTGTCAGTTTTCTCTATTTTAAAAGGAAAACCAGAGGAAAGTTATTTTGAGTGTCTTGTATGATAAATCTCTTTCAGAACTGAAAAGTCTGTAATAGGTTAATTTCTTAAAGGTGAACAAGCTGATGATCTTCCTTAGAAAACTCTTTAAAACTAAATGGTCTTGGGCCTCCCCGGTGGCACAGCGGTTGAGCGCTGGGTTGCGAAGCTGCCCGCAGCCTCTGCAGCACCGGTTTGATCCCGGCTGCTCCCCGGCCACCAGAGGAGGGTCCCACATGGCGCGCAGACCTCTCCTGCCGCCTGCTGCTCCCCTCAGCAGTGTACTTTGGTCCTTCTGCCTGCTCTGCTCCCCGCTCTGGCTCTGGTGAATTCTCTCACCCTCCCGCGCTTCTGACTGTACCCAGTGCTTGTATAAATAAATAAATAAATAAATAAATCTTTTAAAAAAGGGAAAAAAAATCAAGAAAATAATTCCATTTACCATTAAAAAAACACATGTAAAAAACTTAAAAAATAAAATAAAACTAAATGGTCTTGTAATAGAAGAAAAAAAATGCTTACTTGTAATGCAATTACCTCAAAAAAGGTAGAATTGTATACATCTCATTTTCTTTTGTTAAAGATAAAAGCACTATGCTAAGCTCTGCGGAAACGGAAACAGGTGAATAGTATCTGGTTTCTCACTGGAGATTCACAGGCCAATGTAATGGATGCTAAACAGATCTATCCTGAAGGGCTAGGGGTCCCTCCTTCTGGAAGTCTTAGGGATGCTTCAAAGGGTTTATATTGGTTTTTAGAAAAAGAACTGTCTAGAATAAATTGGGATATAGGAAGTGTGTCTGCTAGAAGGGTAGGGAAGATGAGGAAGCCAGAGAGCAGTGAGGTAAAAGTTCTCCAACAGATGGAGCAGCATGGAAGTATGAAAGAATTTAATGTGCCCAGGTATGAAAAGTAGCTCAGTTGCAAGGCAGACAGAGAATTTGGTAAGCATATGGAGGCATAAGGATTAAAGATGAAATTATGAAGGTAGGAAGTCAATGAATTAAAGTAAAAATTAATACACATTTAAATCAGTCTTTGTTATTTAAAGCTATTCATTTCTGGAATAAATATATCTTAAGCAATATTTATTGACCACCACCTCAAGCAGCAGTATAATTTATGACGATATTGCACAAGGTTCAAAAGAAATATAACTCATGGTCATTGACCTCAGCACTGCTGTCCAGATTGGGAAATCTGTTACACATTCATGAGAAAATTTGAAATGCCAAAGTAAATGATACACCCATAAATAAGTGCTTTGGAAAAGATCAGAATGAGTTGAGGCTATCCAGGAATACTGATAGAGGGAATGGACAGTGAGGAAAATTTAGAATTTAAGTAGAAAGAAAAAAAATCCTGAATAGGGAACAGCTGAAGCAAAGGTGAATCATTACTATTGTTAGCAATTAATGATAGCATATTCTTACAAATGCTGATCATTGCCTTGCTGGACACTTTTGTTTTATATGTACTCACTCATTTACTACTCAAAATAACCCATAGTAAGTACTACAATTAACCTCATTTTACAGATGAGACAAGTGAAATGCAAAACATGTAAGTAATGTGCCCAAGATTACACACTTAGAAAATGGAACACTCAATATCTGAAGCCAGGCAGTTGGTGTTAGCTTTTGGATCCACAGCTGGTGTGAGGGCCCTGTCCTATTTTAAGAGAGGTATTTTATTCTCTAGGAGGCTATAAAGGTGAATACATGTAGCGGAGGAGATTTTGAATAGTTGATAGCAGGATTCAGGGTGTGAGTAGTGTGATTAGCTCAGAAAAGACAGTTGGGGAAAAGGCAGTAGATTTCTTCAAAAGCTTATAATGATAGGACATGAGTATATAAAGTGTACCTCGCCCTGAACACAGAAAACAATATGGAATTCTCATCTTTCAGTAAAAGAGGCCGAATAGAAAAATAGAGACACTGGAAATACAGATTGGATCCCAACTCTTTTAAAAGTGTGGTGGAGATGGAAATTAATTCTAATTGACAGTCACTAACCTTAGGGAAATAAGATGACTAAGTTAACATTTTCATTTCTTAGGAAGGATGTTAGAAATGGAGGCTTTTTAGCAGAGGCTTTTGATAACCTGCTTAAAACTACACTAAGCCTCATATTTTATAAGGATGATTTATTAATTATACTTATTTTCTGTACTTTTCAAATCTGAAGAACTTATGGATTCAAATAGAATCACTCCAAAATATCTGGAAGTGAATACTACTATTAATTCTAAAACATCTAGATGGCTTAGTAATTTGAGGAGGAATCTTTCTATTCTTTAATATTTTTAATGAATTAAAAAATTAATTGAACTGACTATACCATAAGCAATTAGATAATAAGGAAGATTATTTTATTATCAGGAATTTTAGGCTGAACTATAATATGCTAACTAAATCTGAGAAGCTAATTATATAACATTGAAAATTAAGCTTTCTTACAAAATAATAGCTAGTTTGTTTTGTTCAGCATCTACTAGCTGCATCGTTATTTCTCTAATTTCTTTATGTTTGTATATGGTACATGTTAAAGGATGATACTAATCAATTATATACCAATCACCATGTACTCTTTACCACAGCTTTAGTGGCTGTTTTTAGTTGTCCATGTTAAGTGTGACTTACCTAATTCATGTTCTGTATCATCGTGAACTTTAAGTATAAATTGAAATGTGCATTAAATGTAATTTATCCAGGTGACAACATAGTAGCAAAAAAATTTTCAGATAAATATTTTACATGGATCCCATTCACACTGCCAACATCTCATGGAGTTAATTAAGCAATGAGTTCTAGGAATACAAAAAGCCCCTCAAACATGGTAGCCTACTGCTTCATTGCTTACAGGTAAAAAGCATGGGTCTTGCATCCAGGGGCACCTGGGTTCCTTTTCTTCCTGCATAATAATACATTCTAGCTATGAAGGTTGGCAAGTTCTTAATTCTGGAAACTGTTAGCTTTTTCGTCTGTGAAAGCAATGATAGTATCTAGTTTCTTGGTTGGATGTAAGGAATAAATGTGGCTGTGTATATATGATCATGGTGTTATTTTAATTATATATATTCCAAACTGAGAAAACTTGATATATTTCATTTCTGTTCTTCACCACAAACTTACAAAAGAAAAACTGAAGTTTCCTCTTCCACATCTTAACTGTAAGGTTGAGATTTGGATACTATGCATTGCAATTTACCTCTCCATTTTCATATGCTTCTTAATGTAACATCCCCACATCACTCTGAGAAAACTGACTCAAAGTGTGAAATATACCCGATATATTATAAACATATTTTGGTATAATACTTTACTACGAGCTTATTCAAATGAATCTCAGCAGTAATACAAATTGATCATTTTAAAACAATAATCAAATATATTTTACATATTATTTTATACCACATTACATAAAAGGTAAGTATCTAGTTTGGCTACTTACGCCTGTCCAACAAAAGACATATTTTCTTCAGCATATCTTAGTAATCAGGGTTGCAATAAAATTTATAGTTTGCAGTTAATAAAAAAAGAAGATATACTTAAAGTTCAAACCTGAATGTTCATTTTATGCAATTGCCTTGACCACCACCAACTCCAGGAGTTCATGATCAGCACATAGTCTGTACTTTCAATCAACATCATCAGCAGGCAGTAATCCTGGGGAAAAAAAGTAAATTCCACAAATAAACAGACCAATTTTCCTTTAAGAGGAAAGCTAATTCTTTTCAATCTACTTTTTTTATTACACTATTTTCCCCTCTATCTACTTAGCTAGAATAAGGATAAATTTCCAAATCTACCCGGTTGGAAAATAAATAGGTTGACTGTTTGTCTAGCATTCCAATCTTTGCAAATGTAAATCAGTTCAACTGCTACTCATTTAAACCTTCAACTTCACAAAGCACTAAAGGGTGGCTTTCACTATACTATTTAATCTATCCACTAAGATTTCTGCTTGAACATCATTCAAAATTGACTATCTGATAAAGAGAGACCACTATCAAAGGTCAGTGAGGTCGACTTGTATAATTACAAGTAGTTTTACTGGGTCAAGTCTACCAGACATTGCTGTTTGAAGGTTAAATTGTTACAATTAAAAATATATACAGATCTACCCAGAGTTAGTTTATTGTTAAATGTACTGGAAAAAGCACAAGCATTTATTTCTGACCTTAATTGTGTCCAAAGTGTCACCACTGGGAAATTATACAAAAAGAGCACTTATTTTTAAAAACATTACATCCTGCACATTAAACAATGTTTTGTAGAATAAAATACATAATTATCAACTGGAAACTCGTTTATTTATCACATCAATATTAAGAAGTTCATTCAGGTTACTCCCTTTGGTTTAATTGGAAGTGCTCTAAGAAATGACGTTTACTATTTCATAGTTGGTGAACTGGCCACAAACAGAGCAAGATGGCCCAGCTTCAGTGTTTGATTTTAAAACAACTTTGAATTCAGAACAATCACTCCCAGTTTACTGGAATTTAAACACATTTTAATAACAAGAGAAAAAGGAAACTTTAAATGGGAGGCTTTGATATGGCCTCTTTCTAAGCATTTGATTCATTTTAATGCCTTTTGCCTTTTCTTATTAAGTGGATAAATGGTCAGTGCCAACATTCTCCATAATCAGTGCTGTGAAATATTCTTTTATTTGAATGAGTATAAATATAGATCAGTTATGTTTTCTTTCCAATGTGATTTTAAAATCACCTTTGGCTGCCCAAGGTGTTTTCCTTGATGTCCCTATGAAAGGTAGGGTTTTTAATTTTGTGTGCAGTGTTTCATTAAATAGACTAAGTGGTTTAATTTGACAATAAGGCAACTTTCTAAACCCAGTTTTCAAATTCAGGAAAGTTCCATGTGAGATTATCAACAAAACAAACCTTGAAATCATACATCTGAGTGAACTGGTCTTAACCCTTTTTTTTTTTTTTTTTAAATATTTTCAGATTTTGTGTGGGAGACAAATTTTTCCTAAAGAACAACATGATCCTTTGCCAGACGGACTACGAGGAAGGTTTAATGAAAGAAGGTTATGCACCCCAGGTTCGCTGATCTATCATCACCCCATTAAGAATACAAAGCACTACATTCTTTTATCTTTTTTGCTCCACGTGTACATAAGAATTGACACAGCAACCTACTGAATAGCGTAGATATAGGAAAGCAGGATGGTTCTATGGAATAAAAGGCGGACTGCATCTGTATGTAGTGAAATGGCCCCAGTTCAGAGTTGAATGTTTATTATTAAAGAAAACAGTAATGTACATATTGCTGGATTTTTTTGCTTGCTATTTTGTTTTTTGTGTCACTTGGCATGAGATGTTTATTTTGGACTATTGTATATAATGTATTGTAATATTTGAAGCACAAATGTAATACAGTTTTATTGTGTTACCATTTGTGTTCTGTTTGCTTTGTATTGTTGCATTTAGTACAATCAGTGTTGAAACTTACTGTATATTTATGCTTTCTGTATCTACCAGCTATTTTAAATGAGCTGTAACTTTCTAGTAAAGAATTGAAGAGCAAATCTCACTAATGATACACATATAGATAAAGCAAGTCTATCAACGTTAAAAATACTAAAAAATAAAATCACACACAAAGCATTTTAGCAACATCCATTATTATTGCCATTATGATTTAGAGTATCAGTGTTCTCATTATAACCCCCTATTTTCAGGGGGTTAAAGATCAGCTTTAAAAAATACATACAAATTTCACCTTAAAGCACTTTCATTTTATAACAACATGAAAAGTGCCATTTTTAGAATAACTTTAAAGCTTAACAGTTATCATTTTAATGTCCTTTTTGTGCTTTCTGCCAATACAATGACTTTGTTTATTTCTAGTCATTCACCTCTTATGTGACCTAGTGCCTTTGGGGATCATGTAAAATTTTTCCAAAGGGTTACTTTAAAAAGTATTATTTACACTGATCATGAGACAATTTTTAAATGATACATTTAATTTCTTACACAAATTTTGTCTGGATCTCTCCACAACAATCAAAAGTTTGATAACTTTATGGCTTGATAAATTTCTGGCATTAAAACAAATTTGAGTATGACTCTACTGAAACCATGATAATGCACATTGACACTCTGATGTTATCTGAGTAGTGAAGTCACTTTTGATCAGAGTGACATAATGCTCATAGAATCTTCTAGAAGAAGAGAAACAAAGGGATTGATAAAAGCTGAGAACTGGTGATTATTTATTTTTCAGTATTTACCTGCCACTTATTTTAATGTTCAGAAGTGAACACTTTGAGTCTGACGTGTCTTACTCTCTCATTGCTTCCTTTAAGTAATTACCCACTCAGAATATATCACACTTAAGCTGAAATCTGTCACTCCATTTTTTAAAAAATGAAACATTATTTCCTTACCTACATGATAGCTGATAAAGAAATCTTTCTAGAAACAGAAATTATGGAGACTGATTATTTAAATTGCTATTAAGGAAATTAAATGAGACTATTATCCCCCTCTTCTGGGTTGCTCATACTTTGCTTTTGTTCCCTAAACAGAACTACTTTTTCAACAAATCCAATTCTATACAGGCACAATGAAGCTATTTTTACTGAAGCAATTTTAGTGCTGTGGGTTTTTTTATTTTTCCTTGATCACTTGTACAGGAAACAGTACTTCCCAGTGTTATTTACATACATATTTCATCCTGCCAATAAATGCATTGCAGATGAAAATTAAATGTGATACCTGAATTCTTGGTTTGGGGCCAAAATATTAAGCTGAAAATAATGCTGGTGTGAATTTAGTTTGTTTTTAAAACAAAGCTTTATTTATGAACATGCATGTGGATTTGGGTTTTTCCTCTCATTCTTTAGGAAACAGTTCCGTGAAAAGTGAATAATATGTCTTTTCACAATGCTTCATGGTTAAGGGTGTTCAAATCATGAGCCCGCCAAATTTGAGATCTACTGAAAAAATGATTTCAAAAAAAGCTATGTAGGTCCCACAAAATAATTTCTTTTACCTTGTAGAGTATTAATGTTTGTTTCCTAGAAAGACTTGCGTAGCCAAAAACCAAACCAAGCAAAACAGAACTAATGGGAGTGGGGCAAGGGTGGGGAGAATGGTTTTCATATGTGGCCCTGCTAAACCTAAGTAAGAGCTGTTTGAAATTCATATGGATGTAAAATTTTGTCAGTATCTTTTTCAAATGATCTTTTTTTAGATTTAAATGATTTTGCATATGTTTATCAGTATGTCCAAATACTTGTAAAATTGGGAACAAACTCCTCTCAGCTTCTTGAAGCTGTTCCACTATCCTTGTCACCCAAAGAGCAATTAAGGTTTTCACTGCCTTACCTTTTGCTTAATCCTTTGGGAATTAATCCTTATGCTTTTTCCTAGGGGCAAAATTACTCACCTGGATTAAAGATTAAGGCCTTAATCTCTTTAGATTATCTTTAATCTCCATGAAATTGTGAAACAAGACAGAAATAGGCCATTTTATATCTATTTGACCATAAACAGTAACATTTTTGACCTGAAGTACTGATTGTCTTGACTACTCAAAAAGTCCTGAATTGGTGTTGATTCCCCTTTGTGTTGTGTAGCCCTGATGTCACTTAGCTTGCTATCTGATGCCTCCTGTGGGACACCTCCAGTGGGGCTTTGATTCATCAAGAAGCAAACATCCCTGTCCTAAATGCATCTCCTGTAGACTGCCTACGACAAGGACCAGGCACCTCCGCTCCACCAGAGTGCTGGCTGAGTTCAAAAGCTGACCTGTGTTTGTAATTTCACTTTCATCTTGCTTAATAAATATCTGCTGGATTCTTTCATTCACTTTTTATATTGGATTTGTTTTTAATAAAAGGGGTATTACATTATCTGATTGTACTTAATTGGCAACATCTAAGATGGAATCTAAAAGGCATATATTAAGTTCATGAGAAAGGAGGAAAGTAAGAACATTTATTTCCAAAAGGTAAATCATAATAAGCATAGCCAAAGTACCTCAAATGCATTCTCCAAATGCTCTGCTAGGATCTCTGAGCTAGGTAATTGATTGCTCTTTACATTCAGAGGGTAAGGGGTGAGCAAATAGAACTGTCAAAGATGAAGGTAGCAATTGTGGGTGTAAATTTGTACATTTATACAACTTTTAAGTGCTCCTTCTGAAAGGAATTGTTGCTGTTGTCAGACTAAATTTCAAATGTCCTATATAATGAATTAAAACAAAACAAGAAAAAAAAAACCTCAACTGAACCCTATATTGTCAAGGAAGCAACACTGTGCTTTAGAGGCTTCCTGTTAACTCTCACTTTAGGCAAATCACTAATATATTCACTTAGCCGATTTCATGGAAGTGATATCGGCCAAACATGGTTAGTGTTCAGTTCAGTCATAGATACAATCTGCATGTTTATGGTAATAGGCCATTAGTGTAGAATACAATTTGAGCTAAAGCCTTTTGATGGTTTTTTCTCCAAAACATCAGTATAGATAGTACCTAAGTATGATTTTAATGCAATTTAAAGTAATAGAAAATAAAGCTTCCCTACCACCATTATGTCAATTGACATTTATTGAGTTCCTACTATGCAACTGACCTTGGCCTAAGCACTCACCCAGTCTCTGGTTGGGCAGATTTAGGATACTCTGTGCCTCAGACAACTTGAATGTGTCTCTGCACAGGTTTCTCATCTCAGATCTAATAAGAGCACACAAAAGCAAATTCCATATCCTACCTATTCAGCTCGTCACTGCTATGAAAGCCCCAGAAAATATCTCAAGTAATCAATGTGTTCAGAGAATTATCTCTCACAAATTACTCATTAACTCAATAGCACATAATAAAAAAGAACACCAATTAATTAGTGAGTCACCCTCAGATCACTACGATTACAATAGAGCTCTGTTGAAACAGTGGTTATAAATGGAGCTGCCTCTCTTTATTCATTGTTTGCAATTGGCCCCTTATTTGCCTGAAACTAGTGTCATTTAATACATGCCTGTAGATAATTGTGTGATTAGTCAATGAAGAATTCAGAAAGCCTACTGCTTTTAGGGCCTTATAAATGATCATAAAAATAAAAAAAACTATCATTTGACTATAATTTCTTCTGAAATCAAGCTACTGGAAGATTACAATCTCTCTAAAATGTAGAGTTTTGTACTTATAATAGAGATGTAAGATTTCCACATTGAACATTATAAGGATGCACTGCTAGAACACTTGAAAGTATGTTTTTCAGTGCCTATGAATACATACTACTTAATTTCAGTAACTTTTCATGAAGACTAAAATATGCATGACCAATTTGGAAAACATTTTGGTCCTCCCAAAAGGGATAGTTTTGCTTTGGTGGACCAGATTGGGGAGGTGTGTGAGGATTGCCAGCAATAGGGGAAGAGATTAAAAGAAATAGCAAATATTACATACAAAGTCACCAACTATAGTTTCCCAACTATCTTAGTAAATGCCATTCCAATAAGCTTATAGAATAATTATAACAGTTCCCTGAGGTAAGTAAGAAACATCTGTTGGTAACACATAGCAGGTGTTAACAATTACACATACTGAAATTTTTAAAAATGTTTTTAATTAAAAGAACTCTGTTTTCTGAAAAGGAAAATATGTTACATTCAATGATACTCCTGGTTTGAATGTGCAGATCACGTAACACAAAATTCTACTAGTCCAAATCATCTTGGATCAACTAGGTTTTGTGTTTGGTTTAGATCATTGCAATCAAAAGTGAATTGGAATTCCTTGCACTTTTCATACAATTGGTATTCTAGGCCGAGGACCTGAATACTCATGAAATTGGTACAGCAGAGATGATTACAGATTATTTTGGCTTTAGTGGCAAGGTGGTGGCTGTTATCTACACCAAATTTAATGGACAGAGTACAAAGGAAAATAGGAGAAGGAGACATTCAGATAATGGATTATCCAAATGTTTTTTAACCCTGCTTCTGCAGAAGACTTTCAATCACCTAAAATGAAATAGTCCATTTGTAACTTGTAACACTGTAAGACCCATTTTTAATAGCTTTTACTAATAGCTAGCATTTACTGAACACTTAGCATCTGTCAGTTTTCCACCCCTCTGTAATTTCTACAGCACCCCTAAAAGAAAGTTACTATTATTCCTATTTTGCAGATTTTAAACAATAGTACAGAGAAGTAACTTGTACATCACACAGTAGATAGTGGACCTAAGATTTAAACATAGGTTTTCTGACAGTAGGGCCTACCAACTATACTACATCATCTCTTATGAGATTGTCATCTGTTATTATTAGTATCACCATTACTTTTATTATTTTCTAGCCAAGAACTTGAAGTTAACTGTGCTTGAGCCAAAACCGCAAACAACTCAGAGTTAATCCATCCTTAAAGGTGAAAATTAAGAATGAGAGTAATGTTTTCCCAGAAGCAATATACATGGCAGCCCTTTCTTTCAACCAGAGGAGCAGGGAGAGGGTGCCCATAGAATCAGTGTCATGAACAAGAAGTACTTGGCTTAGACTTGAAAGCAAGTGGGAACAGAAACCTGCCTTTTTCTGCATCAGAGTAAGCATTCTATTCTCAGAAGTCAAGATAATAAAATTAGTACTTTAATACTCAATAACTTCCTTCCATAAGATGATAGGAAAACAAACAAAGTCAGAATAGTAATCTGTCTGTGTTCACTGATCTAGAAGATGCTGGGTTCGGGTCAGCTGCCACAGAGTTAAGAAACTCTTTAGTCTCAAAATGATGATGGCAAGCACTATAGGACAAGACAGTTATGCTTAACATAGCCCCCAGGCAAAATGCAATTACCCACATCCACAGAAAACCTTCAAGACATTCTTCCTTCCACTGGTTCAACTACTTGCTGCCACCACTAAGCCACTTCCATAAACAGGGGTCCTTTGAAAACTAAGTCATTTCAGGTTGAGTGGCCCTAATGGGAACTTCCATTATACAAGGTCTTACACTATTTTCAGTTCATAATTAACACATGAACAGAACAATTCAGAGTCGTGATGATCAAGGAAGAACACGGTCACATCGCATCACATAAAACAATGTGTCGTTCTGCGACCTAGCAAGTGGAAGCTGCAGGAATGCTTAGTGTATGACAGCTTAGGTGAATTATGAATTACACTACAATACCCCTAAAAGAAAAGCCAGTTCTTCTCAGTCCAAGTTTGATGGAACCACTAGGTTGTCTAAAAGTTGAATTATAATTCCTGTATTCTTCACAGTTTCCTCAATTTAGTGTGACTAGTAGCAGGGCTGGACAAAGAGGAAGCACATCTGAGGCAGTTTTTAGTATATGAGCAGAAAATGGGGAAGAAAAATTTTAAAAAATTAAAAAAGCATTAAAAAAAAACACCTACAAAGAGCCAGGTAAATCCATGGAAAAAAATATTAGGATGCCTACTGTGTGTGTAGTACCATATTATTCATTTCTAAAATTTTTCTGCCTAAAATTTCACTGCAATTTATTCTTTGTCTAATGCCCAATTTACTAAACAATTCTAACAAATGCAATTTCTCTAAACATTTGTACACCATTTAAACAGCTAATAAACCAAAACTTGTAAATTTAATACATCAGACTCAACCATTTAAACATAGACTAGAATCTCAAATTACTCTAAACATATAAATAAAATCACATCTAATCAACTTCAATTGCTTTAGAAATAGAAAAATTTTCGACCCAAAATTTGCTCTTAGAAGACCAAGATGTTGCAAAAGTTAAGATTTCCGTGTGTTCTTCATGTCCAAGTTACTCAGTTCTTGTATAAATAAATAAATCTTTAAAAATAAATTAATGAAATGATTCACTTAAGCCAGTATGAACCAAGTTGGCTGAGTACATAATAATCATGCTTTTCCTGTTAAGACAATGGTATCTTGTGAAGTTCAAGTTTTTTCACATAAGTTATAGCTTTCCATAACCCAATGCTTTTTCCCAAACTGATGTATACTACCTTGATTGGAAGCTTATGTATGCCATTTTAGTATATCATCATAAGCAATAGTATAATTTAGAGATTTTTTTAATCTCTCAAGAAATAAGGAAATTAATAACAAAATACAAATTTCCAATTAGGATACTGACTAATCCTCTTTCTTGCAAAATTATTGCACCCTATTTTGAACTGACTATAATGCATTCTAAACTGTGCTGACTACCCATCGTGTCCCTGGTATGGTGTGACTTGCTATTCTCTATACTTAATCTTCTTTACTTAGAAAACAGAGACAAGTACAGATGGATATCATATGTCCATCTTTTACTGGACAATAAAAGAAACAGATCACAATACCATTATAATTTATTTTCTTGGTGTTACAACTTTTGTATACTATACGTTAACTTCCCCTTATAAGTATGATTGTAGGCCTATGGCTTTCATAGACTCAAGTGCAATGAAGAATTATTTCATAATGGGCCAGATTTCAAGTATTTGTGTGTGTGTGTGTGTGTGTGTTTTCTTACTGAAGATGTCAGTCAAAAAGTTTGTTTTGAAAGAATTGCCTTAGAAAAGCAGAAAGCCAAAAAAGGGGGGAGGGGTGCTTGAGAGAAAAAGCAGAGCACAGCACACAGTGAGAAAAAGGCAAACTGTTCCAGAAAGGGTGCTCAACCTGAAAATTGCAGAGGCCAAGCAACCACGGCGTAAAAGCAACAGTAACAGAAATCACTTCAAAGGAGAGTATTAGTATGGTCCAACATTAGTTGGACATTAAAGAGAATAAAGAAACAGAAGAGTGAGTCAAGAACTGAGACCATGACTTAATCACCCGTATCTGTGAGTCTACTTCAGTCTTCATTAGGGATACCTGATAAGACCATAGTTGTGCTTCAGCAGTCTCATC